GTGGAGAGATTCTGTCATAGACAAACCTCAGTGGGATTCCATTCACAGGCGCTGTACACCTTTAGGTACAAAGCTGCAGGCTGCATTGGCTCCAGGTAACATAAACGCTCCCTTCAAGCCACCGCGTATCTGCCCGTGAAAATTCTCTAAAGGGCTTTAAGCATTTAAGCACAACACTATCAGGCATTGCCGAAAAATTCAGCTTACCCTGTTCAATGGGGACTTCAAAGAGAATTGCAAAATACCTTCACACGGCTACACTTTCTCCCATCTCTGTCGCCTCGCGGTCCTATTCATTTTATATTTCAAAACACAAGCGGTGGCATAATGTGAAATGTATAATCATCTGTATATTTCCTTTTTAAATGAATAATAACAATAATCTTTGGGTAATTTCGTTTTCATGCTGTTTTTGTTAAATAGGACGCGCATGCAAGCCACAGGTAAACAAGGCCGTGCAATAATGAACTTGTGGATTAGGCTTTTATCTATGTCCTGTGATAATACAAACCAAGTTACAGATCGTATTGACTGTCAACCATGGATAAACTAGTGTGTGGTTATGTATTTACTTTTCTATTCACACTGTGGACAAACTGCAAGGCACTACCCCTAGTGCACAAACCAGCGCAGCGGTTGTGTGTGCCAATTGCTTCCACAGAGAATATAATAAATCTATAAGCCTATTTGCATGGTATAGACTTAAAAATGCAAAACAATATGATGCATAAACATTGTGTGATTGAAAATAAGAGCATAATAAATGGTTTCATAATGAGCAATAAAAGAGGGTCTTTAAACAGTTTACTGCTTAGTTCACAGTTATAATTAATCTGGCTTCCATGTGTGCATATAAAGTGGGTATAAAATTGCCTGGGTATGTGAGCAAAGCAGTGAGCGGAGGAGAGGAAATGCTGGTAAACTTATTCGACATGATTCAGCTGTGGCCTTTTTGCCGGCAAACTGCCCTTTTTCTCCTCTAATCTAATCAATATGGCAAGCTCCCCAAATAATACATTACAAAAAATGCTCCCTGAAATTATTTACAGTGAAGCACACACCAGAAACCATAACATTTATTATGTTTTACAAAGCCATCAAATAAGTGGAGAGGGGATTAATTGCCCCAGCCCGACCTTAAAATAATTATTTTGAGCGGTGCAACTCTAAACTCCAATGAAATTGATACACTTTGATAATTAGATTCTTGGCACTGACCCGCTGAAGTCAATAAAGGTTATTAAGGCCAATTGCTGTCTAAACGCATTACGGGCAGGGTAAACTGTCCGTCGGAGGCCCCTGCTACTCCAACGCCAATATGATAATCCATTCTCCGTCCTGGGGGTTTCTTCCCTAGCGCCTGTGTCTCCACTCTGCCATACAAAACCAGATTGGATTCGCTTAACCTTTCCAGGACTTTGATCAAATGAGCTCACAAGGCAATAACATTTACATTGACCCCCCCAGCCCAACACACACAAGGCTCTTCACCCTCCCACCTCCCCATGCACCTCCTCATGTGTGTCTACAGTCTGTCCCTACTGCGCACGCCCCTCCCTCTCCCCCCCGCAGCCACTCTTCACACGCCAGGTCAATAACCTAATCAGCTATCGATGGCACCGGGCTAGTCAGTGTATGATTGCAGTGCAGCCCTCCACAGCAGCCCAAGAGTGTTCCCGCAGACTCTTATTAAAGTGAGAGAAGAAGATGAAATGGTCACTAAGCGCATCCCGGCAAGACCCCGCCTCTATTATAAATCAGAGAACCCACAATTTGTCACACAATGAGGAAGAAAAAATATGTCATAGCGTAAATGTGTAGGTATATGACCAAACCATAGGAAAACACAAAGTGACAGGCCGGGTGCACATAGGAGAGGGAGACACGGCCCTGAGACTACTTCCTGTTTTGTACATCTTGAAGTATACAAATGTATTCATGTGTGCCGATGCCGTTTATTATGAAAGTAGATTAATTTCCTTGATATGCGTTGAAAAGGTTTCCATCGAGGAGGCACGTTCTGCTGTCAAATGAGGAAGAAATTGTGCAGGAGAACAAGAGAAAGAAGGAACATAAAGAGAAAGGGAAAGAGCCTGGGAGAGACGGAGTGCATTGAAATCTCTTTGCATCCACGCAAGCTTTTGAAGTCGCGAGATGAGCGGCTACAGAAGTCAGAAAAGTGACAAATTAGGGAAAGAGCTGTACTGTGCAAGCGGCTCGGCTAAATCAATTAAAGTCAAGGCGAGTGCATACATTAACATCAATAGAGTGCGCACAGACACATACAACACACAGGACGGGTGAAAAAAGACTGTAAGGCCCACCGCTGTCGTCCTCCCCACCGCATTGAAGAGATAAAAAATACCACACCAGTATTTAAAATATTCTGCATAAAAACCAAGGCTCTAAGTCTATTGTCAGTCAGGCGGAAGCTATTCATTGTTGCTAGTTTAAAGAAATGTCACCAGTGTATGATCATGGTGATAGCAGTGTCCTGGGGGAAAGACAAGCAGCAAGATGGAGGCTTCTAAACAGACTTCAGCACCCACGTTCACCAGAGAGAGAAGATCCTTAAAGGTAAAGACCTATAGACAGACCTTACATACAGGCAAATTATTCAGGAGTCCTTTGTTTAGAATCAGCCATCATGCCCGTTATGGTGAGAGAGAGCAAGTGGACCTATTTTGTCCAAGATATTCATTTATTTATTTGATGCATTTTATCAGAATGTCATTCAAATGGAAGGGTGAGCATTTGCATGACAACAGGCTGAGCTGAAGGGAGGCAGCCCCAGGGAGACGGTATCCATAAACAGGAGCTTGCCCCCCCCATCTCTCAATATTCCTTCAACAACCTAACAAATGCATACATAGGCCCGCGCATCCCATACCGCCGTGTGCTAAATATGACAATAAAGGGATTTGCTGTTAATATTACTATTTTGGCAAGAAAAGACAATGTGTTTTTTATTGCTACAGCCTCATGCATAGTAAAACATTGTGTAATTTTATAAACTCTATTGAAGACACGTATTTTATTATTTTTAAAATACCCACGATAAAATCAAATTCGACAAATAAAAAATGGCGCTAGTATTAAAATAAACTCTGCAAGCGAGAAAAGAAAATCGAATGAAAATAAACCGCATATGCACTTAGCGGGTCACTGATATTTCCCTGAATTATACTGTCAGTTGCCAGTCTCAAATGTAAAATATGAGAGAATATGGATGTAATAATAACACTTGAATGCTTAAAAGTAATCATAGGAATTGTGTTTTAATCTAACAATGGCCCAGTAGCCCAAGCTATCCAAAGCAATGAGAGGAGAAAAATCTATAAGTCACATCTCTGAAGTGCTCTAGCTCTGGTCGATGCATGTATGTAAATATTGCTTGTGAGAGCAATAATGCTGCCTTTCATCACAATAGTGAATCATTATATTTATGCATCCGCTTGTGTTATTATTTTTGTGCGAGTTCGATATGCATTTGTGCACAGGGAAACAGTTGCTTTTTATGCTATTTGAATAATTGAGTTTGGTATAAATCAATAGCAGATATAATGTATGGTTCAATTTAGTTTAATAACAGCAAACTGTATTTTCAATAAAGAATTTTGTGATAGTAAATTATTGGAAGCACTGACGAATGTACTGAATTAGTTTTAACAATATAATTCACAAATTGTACTGCTTATATACATTAACATTATTTAGGTATAAATAGAAATAGTGTATATATATATATATATATATATATATATATATATATAATGTTAATGTTCTTAATGTTCTTAAGATTACAGTTGCAGGTAAAAAAATATATATATAATATCTTTGTGGTATAACTTAAATATTAAGAGAATTTGATTAATGCCAAATGTCAGTGTTTTGTTTTTTTGTTTTTTTTTTCATTCTATTAGTATAAATGCATTTTTAAATAAACATGCAATGTCTGTACTATTCAAAAATATTCTGATATTTCCATTATATGTTTTAAACATAATATAATTCTAATCTTTATGGGCCAAAGTATTTGATTATACAGTAAGGTTGCCCTATTAGAAAGTGATGACAGGTCAAAAAAAGACCTCACATTTCACAACTGCCCTTTTCTAAATACAGGTCCGAATTGCACACTTCATCGAGGGCCTTAAGGTGGAGCCGGAGATGAGTTTGAACCCCCCTAGTCTGCACACACACACACACACACACACACACACGCACTCATACACACACACACACCCAGTCCCATATAGTCAGGCTGCTGTAGTGCGCGGAGAGGAGAGAGTGAGCCAGCCGCGCAGTGCACTTTTCCTCTAGCCTCCTGTCTTTATCCCCGCCTGAGCATTAGATGTGATTACTGCTCAGCGGCCGACACTGACAGAGACAGAGAGCTCCCAGAGACAGCGGGAGCAGGGCCCGACCAACGGCATGGAGGGAAAAGCCAGTGAGAGAGGGAGAGATGAGAGATGCATGCCTATAGAGTGATGCAAGAGTGCCCCCTGCTGTTTTCCAAAGGCCTCCATGGACACACTCTTTGAAAAGGCAGAGAAGTACAGTGTGTCTGTGACTAAGGTATAATAATCTGTCTACTATGACTGATTTCTTTATAGTGGTGTCAGACTAATAGCTGCATGCCTGCATTCCTTGTAATAAAGGTTGTATGAGGCTTCAATTAAAAAGCATGACACACTCTAGTCTTGATAATGTGTTGCGGCAAGAACTTAGACAATATATCATGTCATTTTAAAGAGTTATTTTGCTCAAGGGGAGATTTTTGGCCAGTAGATCATGAGGTAGTTTGCATAAAAGGCACAAGTAAAAGCATGTTAAAAATAAGTATGGGATTTAAATAATGAAATTTGTCTCACTTCAAAGAGTAAAGGAATTTTATATAATGGTGTAGCAATAACGTGGAAATGACAGCGTTTGAACAAAATAACATGTGTAGCCCTAATATGTCTATGTCTGTGTACACTGTGTCTGAGGCGGCCTACCATGGTTTCCATAAGCCTCCAGTCATTCTCCAGCTGCTCCATGGGTCTGCTCCACCAGCTGCAGAAGCGAGTGTAGCGCCTGCCCTGGAACCAGTACTGCCGCAGCCACTCAAACTCCACCTGTGTGTGTGCACAACGAACAGTTTACCTAATGAAATATTATTATTGTACTCTATAGCATATATTTTATTCAAATATCAATTAAAATTTCTTCAAATGCCAATATAAAAAAATAAATAAATATACACAATGTAAAATGCACAGAAAATTTCAACCTCTGTTTCAGCAAAAATTATGAATAAAGTTGGTCAGCTCACTGACAGCAGTTAACCAAAGTCCTTACACAGATCTGGCTGTCTCAGACAGAGCACACCTGAAAACTCCGCCTTTCTTTTCCTTGCCTCATCCTCATCACTCCCTTTCTGTGCCTTTCCCTGCTCCGTCTGGAAAAGACAGTCTCTGCTGCTGAGCCGCTCCTCCGCTGGGAGTGTTTTTGTTTCCTGTGCTTTTGAAGTGCTGATTTAATCCTCGCAAGGAAGCCTCATGTAGCCAGGTGTGGCCTATCTCGTCGCTAAGTGCGTCTTTGCGTCTGCATGTTTATGTTGATGCCATAGCACTAGCATGCGTATGAGTGTATCTGTCTGCACAGGTGTGTGATCCCTTTGTTAGCGTCTGCGTATCTCTGCCACTGTGACTCTGTGTGTCAAAGATTGCCCCAATTGCCGCCACCAAGAAACTAAAGCCTGTAGTCGCCCACCCCCAAAACGTCCTACAAAGCATTTTCCACCCAAAACAATGCCTGCTGCATTTCTGCCTGACGCAGACAACTGTACAACACAGAATCCACTTGCATAAAGGGGTTCATATCAAGAAAGGACAAAGACAGCTATTGTTATTTTCTGAAAACTATTTTGTTTACTGCAAGAAACAAAGCAGAGAAAATCCCTTCTGGAACTGCCGAAATGTCACAACAAGGTTCAAGCATGTGTTCTCAACATTATGCCATTGTTGTTATTGTTATTATTTTAACTGAACACAATTTTGAAGAAAAAATATCAATCTGTTTACTTTTGTCACATGTTTTAAGAAATATTAATTGTATTTAAACTAAATATACTAACATCTTTATTCTAGATGAGTAGAGATTACTTGAATTAGAAGCACACTGTTTTAATAGTTTTAACACTACTGAATCATCAGAACATTATAAAATATATCATAACTTGTCTTTGATTGTTGGTAGATTCTAATGTCATTAAGTAGCTTCCTGCTCTTTATTTGACACAGACTGAAAAAGAGCCTCAATAGTGGCAGCCACTGGTACACAGAATCCTCCTGCCATTTGCTTTCAAATGCTCTGATCACAGCGGGGATGACATGCAAGGACTGGGGCATGTCAGGAAGAATACACAGCCAGTGGCAGTGCTCAGCAGCCCCTCAGTCACTCCATACAAGCCACCCTTCAAAGAAATGTCATCCTTTATGGTCCCTTCAATACTCACCAAATCCACTCCCCTTCGATCACTACAGCTCAAACACACAACAAAGAGTGGCGCGCCAATATCGGACGTCCCCTTCCCCTCTCTCTGTCCCTCCTACTATCCCTCTGATTGTCCGCCTGTCCTTTAGTGACGAGAATCTGACCTGTGTCTCCACTTTAAGTTGACATGGCTGCCTGTCCCCTACTGAGCAGCGATACAGCCGACCCAAAGCAAGCTACAGAGGAGCGCAGCCGCTGTGGCATTTGGAGCCCGGCCACCCAGCTGTGAGTTACCAAGAGAGGAACCCAAACTAAATGCCATCTTATCCCTGCAGACAGATCGAATACAGGTGCGAAAAAGAGTGTGGTTGTTAAGGCTAGTTTTTCTCTCAGATGGCATGGGTGAGAGAGAGGGAAGCTAGTGGCTCCCCTGCGGCACCTGCTGTCATCTCTACAGGTGATGGACATACTAACTACACATTAGGCTCACATTAGATGGCCGGCCACCCGCCACAGCAACTCTGGAGTTAAAGCAAGCAACCCCGTTTTCTCCTCCATTTAATGAGGCACATTTTTTCCAAACCTTCACAGTATTCCCACAGCGGGTCAAATCAATTTCCGGACCAGAGCCCTGAGGTGGGAACTGATGAGAATAGGATCGATCCCACTCTGCCCTCCTGTGTTTACTTTTTCTCTCGCTTCAGTCTGGAAAAGTGGTCCCCCAGACTCACTGTAGAGACTGAACATTTATACTCATGAAACTGCCACTGTGGAGGACACATAAGCAAACACTATAAAGAACAAATTATGGTTCTTATTCTTCAGATGACAAAGAAAGCTTTTGGCTTACAATCCATCACATGGATCACACAGAGTATAACATAACAAATTAACTTCTTATTTGTCATATGTATGTATATTTTGTATTTCTGTTACGTACATTTCGACAATATTTTCCACTCTCATGGTTTTAATTTTCAATATTCAATAGTTATTGTTAGCAATTTAGAGTAATAACTAATGCTAGTTTCCATATTCATACTGTACTCTATTTACACATTGCGCCTTCTACAAATGTCTAATAAGTGTAGATTTTCTTGTCATTACATTTAATGTTTTAAAAAAAATCACACCACTAATGCTCTGAAGACAGACCTGGGAGCCTGGGGAGATACTACGGGCTCAAAAACAGGACACTACAAGGTCAGACACTACTGTTTCCCCACAGTTTACTTTCAGTCTGAACATGTGGGAAAAGCGTCCCTCCCTTCAATATTTACTGTTGGGGACTAGCATCATTAGAGGGGTCCCTTAGGGCACTCTGTCACACACCCACCTGGGAAGTGACACAGTGGCTTTAAATGAGACAAGACATTTGCGTCTGGTATTAGCATTTCAAAGGCAAACATGCACATGGGGTCCACGTGGCATTGCTATGGTACGCCCCTCCATCCTCTTTACCTAGGAAGGGGGACCAGATTAAAAAGTAGGCTGTGAGGGACTGTGCTTAACAAACAGGTGGGATCAAGAGTTTTCTTCTTTTTTTTAAATGAAACCCATCAGCTGCTACTTTTCTGTCAGTTCCTCAAACCCTCAGAAGGCAATGCTCATCTTCATCATCGTCAGACCTGCCCACATCCTGTGACAAGTGTCGCACTCTTCCTCCTCCACCTCCCTCCTGCCATTGCACCAGGTTGCACTGCATCCAGGCACGTCACCAGGTGCAATCTGGCTGTTTAGCACTTCTTAAGGAATGGCCCATAAGGTGCTGTTCAGGTCAGCCTGCTCGTGCGTCTCAGGCTTGTTCACTTCTTGGTTGTCCATGTCAAACACGACCTGCGCAATGTGCACCCGCCAAGCACCAAAGTGGGCCGCCATCATAAATAACTCCACCAACAATACATCATTAAGTGGGTGTTCGTTCTCATGGGCAACTCAAAACAAATGGCCACATCGATCATTGCGAGTGCCAGGTAGGGTAAGCTTGCACCCCAGAGAGCCCCCCTCCTACTTAAACACTTGCGCATACATACGCACACCTGCTCTTTTATAAATAGCAAATAAATAAAACAGCTTTATGTGGCCCAGGCCAACATGTATGCATAGCTGGAACTGCACTCCTCTTGACACTACTCCCCTTATTATTGGGTGGTTTTGAATAATTAATATGGTGTACAACCTTTAAACAACCTTACGTCAGGCTCATCTGTCATGGATCCCTGCTGTGGGTCTGGGTGCTGGCATCATCCAAGATGTGCGCTGTGAGCCCAAGGGTGCAAAGGGGAAAGGTGAAGTGGTACATTAACTGTTGGCCTGTGGCAAGCCAGCACAGGGGGCTGGTTACGGCCTTCGTGTTGCTCTTTTTTAACCTCCCTCTATCCCTCAGAATCCCAAGCCAGCATCACTCATTGTTGTGTGTGAAAAGGGGTTTGTGAATGGAGCAGGTCATGACTCCATCTTTAGATAACATATGGAGAGGCTATTGCCTTACAATCCATCACACGCCTGGACAAATTAGAGCAACCTGGACTTCATATAGGAGGCATTACCAGGAGTAACAACAACCATGTAGGTAAAGAAAGAGAATGAGTTTGAAATCTTCCATTTATAGAAGAAGCTTGCTACAAGAGACTGAAAAAACAATATAGTGGTTCAAAAGAAATTCCTTAGTGTTGATGAAAATGACATTACCTCAATGAATATAAAACTATGTCCAAACAGTAAAACAGTCTCAAAACTGCATCATTTGTTTCACATGATCGGACTGTGCTGCAAACTTGTAGTCTATTTAAAAACACATTCACGTCCCATGACACATGTAGAGTCACAGGTGAAGTTGTTGGCTTGTGTATATACCTCATTGTGAATCTCCTCACAGTGCTGCAGTGTAGTGGGCAGAAGGGCCAGCAGGCTGTGGGAGCCTGTCTCTGGGTCTGTGCGCAGGTTGGACAGGGCCTCCTGACACCGTGACTGGATATAAGCCAGCGTCCCTCTTGAACACTTGTGTGAAGAAACAAACTTTGTTTTACCTTTCAATATAATACTAAATAGCTAAGCTTTTTAACAAATGCATTCTTCATAGTTTTGTTGCATTGCTATTTATGTTCTAGTGATTTCTCTTTAAATCTGCATGTGTGAAGCTATAAGAAACTGTTTTTACAAATTTATAGTTTGTACATTTACAAAAAAATTGTTTCATTTATTGGCCAGTTTTTCTTAAGTTACAGACTTCTGCTACTGCCAACACATCTTCAAAAGTCACAATGTTTTATGTTTTACCAATGTTAAATTTGCCACAGATGTCTGTTTTTACTGCTAGGTTTTGACCTCATTACAAAGGCCAAATGACCAGACAGCATGCTGGCCTCTTCTAGACATGTTGGTTTCTCACCTCGGCCACTCTGTGTGTGGAGCTGAAGCGGGCCGTGTCTCCGGCAAGGACACAGTGCTGATGGGTGGTGTTCAGGTCATCTGGTAAACACAGCAAGAAAAATTATATCAAGCACAAGGAAATAGGTTAAAACAGTAACAGAAAATGTAATATATGCAAAAACATAATTTGAATATAAAGACAGATGAAAAGTGGGGCATGAATGAATATGACAACTAAATCATGTTGTACTCCCAGACAGATTGCACTTGGTCCAGTCTTGATTCAGATATACTGAGCTGCATTGTACCATAATTTTAATTACCAAACAAAACCAGATAGTGCTCAATCTGTCAAGATGGAGGACCCACACCAGCAAACATTTGTCCAATATCACAGGGGCTTTACACAGAGGCCTTACTGCTGTTTCCAGTGTATCCCTCCATGTGTTTCTTTGTGTGTATAGATGTTTCGCAGCCCTGCCATTATTTGCCTCATACCAATAATTAATTTAGCCATGACAGGGCTGTCATTCACAGCACATGTGCATATTTACACCCGCCTTGAGCAAGAGTACACTGGCTAATGCCTGTGATTTGAAAGTCAAACAGCCAAATGCTTTGGAAGGAAGATATTATTGTTTGGTGGAAGGGAAAAAAGATGGTGACAAACAAAACAACTTGCCTGTGTTTTCTTCACCCTGATGAGATTGTGAAGGATTACGTCTCTGGGCAGAATTACTCTGCGTCTTTAAAACTGTTTATATCCAATAACAAATTATCTCCATCAATCTGCTCTTTTCTTGGCGCGTCTGATGCGTCAGTGAGATCAGGAGGGAGTAGAGGCAAACTCGATAACTGTAATAAATATTTATCTTTCTTTCAACCCCTGCGCCTGCTGCCACTTGTCCTCCTTTTCCAGGAAGCAGGCTTTTAAATATATTGGGTCAACTCTTTTCTTCAATCCCCCTGTGCATTCGGAGCTGGAAATCAGATTATTGAACAGGCCTGGTGTCAAGACTTGCATTGTTCTTTTTTAACCAGTGAAATTCCATTTGGGTGGAAATGACGGTGATTCAATTTGCCTCCAGCAGCTTAGACATTAGCAGTTCAAAGAGGGCAGTCGACGGCAAAATGTGGTAAAAAGACATTATGGTGCGTGTGGTTATATGCTATTGTAGTTTCCATCTAATACCTCAAAACTACTTATGATGGGGTGTATGGCACTGGGATACAGGTGCAATGTATCCTGGTTTAGTGTTATGTCTTCAAGTCAGGACATGAAAAACTGCTGGCCTCAAAACGAAAGTCTGCTTATAGTGCTATAAAAGGGTAAAGTCATTAATTGTGCCAAAACTTTAATTTAGGTAGGGAACAAACAGCCACTCATAAAGCATCCAGTTAGGAAACACTTAAGAAATGGCAGTTAACCACTTTTCCAAGAACTGGTAAGTGGTGATATAGTACTGACAATTTTAATCATGTTATTTTTCTGGGGCAGGACCTAATGTCTAAGTGCAAACATGTATTTAATATAATCTATAAGAAAATGAAGCCTTGAATGCAGGCTAAATCTTAATCAATGGTCTGTGTTAAAGATGCAGCAGATATGTAAAGGATTACATATTTTATCGCCTACTATAGTAGGTTAATCTCCTATGTCATAAAATTTTATTATTCCTAAAGTAGAACAAAAGATGAAAAACACTCCTCTAGAAGTATTTATTGGTAGACTAACTGTGGTATGAATTAATGTATAATTTATTGAGTAATTAGAATTTACTTATTTTAACATGTATATTTGTTACATTATTCTATATTACACAAAATTGACTCCTGTGAGCTTTAAGACAGTTTCAGCAATCCTTAACTACATATTCAAAACTCAAAAAGCTTTGTTCCACTTTGCAATGTCATCAAGTGATAGTTTTCAAGTTAACAGCTACCATTTACCTTTTGCTCAGTAGAGATTGGTAATTGTAGGGCTGAAATTATTTAAATTATTCTAGTGAAAGTGTATAAAGTTTAAAAACATAGTAGAGGTGGAACAGAGTTTTTCTGTTTGACAAAAGAACTCAACCTAAATATGCAGGGTTTGCGTGTTAAACATATGTGAATGAACCAAAACTCAACTGTTTTTGATGAGGAAACCACATTATAACACAGATTAAAAAAAATAGAATAATATGGACTTTGTAATGTTTTGTTTGATTTAAATGGGCCAGACTTATTGCATCTGTGACAGTACATTGATTCATAACCAAATATCCCCCCATGCTGAAACCATACAGGGCGCAAATAAAAGAACCAGTCCAAGATTAAGTTGACTTCCTAACTTCTTATCCATCTGAACATTTCCAGCTGCTATATGCTGTGGATACATGCCCTCACACTTAGACAAAATAATGAGGAAGCATAAAGAGGGTCAAAAAGAGAAGGAAGGGGGTGTTTATCACTGCAGCCCTAAGCATTAAGCTATGATTTACACTCCTGTGACTGGTCATTTGTCCTCTTAGTCAGCAGTGGGTCAAAACTTCAAAAACATAACATTTTCCTAACCTCTCCACACATCATTACATGGGACCTTAAAGTTCCATGTCAAAGATAAAAAAAAGTGTCTCTCTTACACACAGCTCACTCAGACACATCATCACCATTTTTCCATCAATTTTGGTAAAATACCAAGCCATTGTCATGTCAAGTGAGGCAAAATACTAAAGGCCAAACCAGTAAGTAAAAGAAGGTGTATTACTCTAACATATAATAGCTTATAGATTGCGTTCATGATATTTTTTATATGATGTCATCATTTCACCGGCAGAGCTGGAGCATATACAAGTCACTCCTTTTGGAAATGAAATATCCAAGCAGAAAATTAATAAATGTTCATTAGAATTAATTTTATTTCATCTATTTTAAAGATCAGTGTGACAGAGAACGCCCTTTGGACAGGTTTTGTTTGCTGTGGAAAGGATCAGTAACTACATATTAACTAGATATCAACCACACATAAACCAAAACAAACGATTTGCATTTTTAATAGAGGTCAGCATTGTGTTTTTATCTCATAGAATTTCCAGTTAGCCAAACCAATGGAGATTTCAATGTTAAATCACAAACCACTTCGTTTAGAATATTACGACTTCACATGAGTGCATTGCTCTGTTGAGTGTGTGTGTGTGTGTTGTTATTACCTCTCATGTAATAACAGTCCCCAGACTCAAGCGGCAGCATTAGGCCTGGGGTGTGGATGTCCCAGGCAACTTTCAGGCCGATCCTCCAGAAGGACCTCTCGCTGCTGCCTCCTTCACTGCTCTCACCTGTCAATCACAAAGCACCCAACTCAGTGGAAACTGTGCAATCAACATTTAAATTCATATTTCAGTCATAGAAAGTCCTAGTTTCATATAGGCCTACATATGACCAACTTTTTACAACACATAAACCAAGAGCTAATGCATTTTTGTACTTTCTGTTGTAATGCAATAGGATTAAGTGCTCTCCAGATAAACATGTGCAACACCATTGACCTTTACAGAAAAAACATCAATATCAAATATGTAGCACTTTAAATAGTAAAAGGTGTTATGATTTAATCCACATCACTTTTACAATGGTCAGAAGATGTCTGCCATTGTCTGAGTAAAAATCACTTAGCAGAGCAAATGGAATCTGTGTTCTTGTGATCACATTGGCTGTAAGTACAGGATCTTTATGCTATCATTATGCTGTGCAAGTGGAAAGAGTCAGATAAAAGCCCTTGATATTATTTAGAGTGTATTATTGGTCAGCTGGTATGCTCTGATATTCCTGTCTCTGTAACCGCCTTCTCTGCTCTTCTTTCTCCTTCCATTCTTACAAGGCACAGGGAGAAAACAAGATTTGGCTCGGCTGGCCAACACCCTTCAGAAAAATCAATACTAAAGTCTTTCTGGGCCTCTCTGCCCCACAGCTGCCTTTTCCTTTGCTCAGCACGGATAAATAGTAACTTAATTTCCAGCCATTGTGCGCTGAGAGCCGGCTAATGACAGCACTCCCTCAGGCCTGGGGAATGGTGGAGGATCATCGCAGTGCCGGAAAACACTCATTCGAGGCAGATTCCTTTGGATGAGAACAACCCGATTCACTACAACAAAAAGAGTCTGAGGTTCAGGAATAGGCCTCGAAAACAGCATCTTCATTTCTGGATAAAGATTTAACACTAGCCTTCACTTCACAACAATATCAGACAGGGTAAGAAACATGAGGTAATGATGTAATAGTTTGAGCTTGGTTCTGTGCTGTGCTCTTTCTAAAGTTGTAGGGTCACCCAAAAAAAAAAAAAAAAAAAAGGCAAAGCTGCTAAGAGCAGCAAGGTATGATAGCCTAGTGTTTGAAGCTTGTGTTCACAGGGTCAGAGTTAAAACGGTCTAGAACAAATCACTGAAACAGACCTAAAAAGCAGGTGTTTCTGGTTAGAAGGTCCCAATGAACAAAGTCCAGCTGCAAAGTTTTGAGCAGGAATGGGATGTCAAAGCAGTTGACACTGCACCTGCACAGTGCAGACTTTATACAACTTGCACCTTTTAGTAATCTTTGAAATACCTATTTTGTGTGAACGTAACAAAAAATTAGGTGTGTATTGTGGGTGTTTTAAAGGTGCACGTAATAATGTAGCAGATGTAAGGACGATTAATGCTTGTTGCATTCTGAGGAATATCTTCTGTGGCACTAATATAATATGGAACTTATCTTTGAAAAGTGAAATCTTTACCACCTTTCTAGTTGTGTATTCTCGAAACTGTTCTCCCCAAAGTTCTCTCTAAGAACGTCTGCTCCCACTCAAATACTTTATCATCTCCATCGGCAAATACTATCAGCCTCTTGAAAGAGCGCACGCTCCATAATTAGCAGACATCGCATTAGCCATAGCACTACAGTCTAGGAACAGTTATCAAAGCCAGGCTCATTATTCCATATCAGATAATTGCACATCGATCATTTCTTGGGGAAAAGATTTGAGATGAGATTGCAAGTGCGATAAGGTCTGTTTATTAGGCTACGCTATTGAGCATGTGTTAAGAGCTCACATCCAAATGTCTGTGATCTCCCTTAGCAACGCTGATGATAAGGCTGTCAGTAGCAAGCTGGTGGTGACATTTGATAATACCCTGACACTATCACATAGATGGATCTGATGACGCCTCACCAGGGGCCATGTCTACAGATGCCACACTGCTGCTGCAGGGCCAAGATGCACAAGGTTAAACACATCTGATCTGCCATAAAACAAATGAGATCACTTGATGGGATATTGATGTGAGGCAAAGCAGAATATTAATTTCAAAAGTGTTAACACCCATATTAATGATCTACATTGAATTCACAATAAATACATTTTAATCGGCCTATGCATGCATTCTGTTGTTTATAGCTACTTACCTTTCTGATCAGGACAGCAGCTATAGCTATAAACAGCCACTGGAGAATGAGTGACAAGGTTCTCATCATGGTGCCACCCGACTGCCATTTTCCCCATGCCATAGTAAGGCTCCTCCTTGAGCTGGCTCATAGCAGCTGGGTCCATATAGTTTAGTAAGGTCACATTGAACTTGACTGGACCAGTGCACAGAATTGGCAAGCTGGGCGGGGAACACCTACTTTCCCGATTCTCTTTATCTTCAATGTGATAATCTGACAGGCTGTGCTTGAGCTGGGCCACTGGTTTTTCATTGTCCTCTGGTCCCACCGGCTTAGGCTCTGAACCACAAATGGCCTTGGTCACCCATGTAGGACACTTAGCTTCACTATGTGAACTAACACTTGTTTCACATTGTTTGATTTGTGAGGACTCGCCCTCCTCACTGCTGTGTTTAGAGCCTGTCTCCCACTCGCCCTCTGCTTTTGTCCCAGAGCAGCCCTCATCACTGTGTTTGGACTCTATGTCCCACTCCTCACTGTGCTTGGACTCAGTGTCTCCTTCCTCACTCTGTCTGGACTCAGAGTCCACTCCTTCACTGTTCTTGGAGTCTTCACTGTCCCCCTCATCTCCTTGTTTCACTTCTGTGTTCACAGCTTTTGCGCCTTGTACGAGTCTGTCTCCTTCTTTGAGCTGAGACACATCGGAGCAAAAAAAGTTATTCAGTTCCCATAATGCTTTGCACGCAGCCCTGAAATCTGGGTCACAACAGTTCTCTGCTTTGAGTTCATTGTCTTCACTGTGCCAGGGAATAGCAAACAGTCGTGTGTCCAGGTAGCGATAGGTATGTCCAGGTTCCCCCAGCAGGGCACGAGACACAGCGGTGAACACATCTCTGTCCCGCACACGCACCAGATCTCTCAGGAGACTACCTTTCTTTCTCAGTGTTAGGAAGGCTGCCTCCACTTTAGCATGGAGCTCAACAGGAAGTGAACAGGATCTCCTTAACACAAGTCCAGTGTAGCTGGAGTCCCACTGCAAAAGAAATAACCATTAAAAGATCAAAAGTACAGAAGAACCAATTAGGATCTAGGATGCACTCACCAGCTGCTGAAAGCCTCGCTCTGTAGGTCCCAGGAAAGGTATCTTCTGGTCTCCCAACTCCTGCAGAAGCCTCCGCCTCTGTAAGTATAATACAAATAAGTACAAACTATACACAAGTACACACTATAACTGATTTCAGATTTTTACATGTAACTGAATAACATTTGAAACATTTCCTGAATTTTGTTAAGTTATTAACATGTTTTTGTGTGTATTTCAAACATCTTATACTTTTAAATCTTTCTTTCTTTTTTTTTTTTACATGTTATATTGCCAATAGAAAAGCTTTTTCAATTCAAAACTACCCCGAGAACCACCATAGCGCATGCTGACTTCTCGTATTTTTATGATTTTGTGCAGGCTGCCGAAGGGTTCCGCACAACCTTATAAAAGATGCCCTGTGCCATACAAAGCTCCTCCAATAAACCTGTCAACCTGGTGGTGGGATCAAAGTGGCTTTCATTGGGCTGCATTCCATTCAGACCTGTAAATCCAATGGCAACTGGCATAAAACTATATGCCCAAATAAATTTCACAACTGTTTCCCCTCCCTATTTCCACACGCCCTCCCTGTTGTTCCCCATGTCAAACAGCTATGTGCGTAATTCATAGAAGACATTTAAAAGAATTAAACTTGCTGAGACCTATGGACAATCAAAAAGTTCATGACAACACTGTCGCAAAAGGCTATTGTGCAATGTCGTGTTTATTTTCAATATTTACAACACACAATTCTCCACCCTAATAGTCCATATATGCACAAAGACGGATGCAAAACAAACTATGCCACTTTATAGTTAAATAAAAATGCACCGCTAATAACATTAAAGTGAAAGTATAAACAAGGTAAACAAGCTCTGCATCTAAAAAGGGTGACTAGACGCAAGGCAGCAATACAGAACAGCAAGTAAAAGAAGTTGGGACGGCGTGTGATGCGAGGCAGTTTGGCGAATTTACCTTCAGGGATAAATCTTTACCTTAGGCTAAACAACACAACACCTGCTGAAAGTTTTCTTAAAGGATGCACATGAGTGTACAGGCCTCTCCAAGTTATTCTGGAACAAACAAAAACAGACTTGCAGACAGTTGGAATCTGAAAAACAAAACAACATACACTATTCATGGCCAGACTGCACTCAAAGGCAGTTGGAAAGAAAATTGACAAGCTGACACATTCAGTGGTGTCGAATTCCGACTTATGACAGAAGCTGGAGATATCAAGGTGAGGCTCTGGGCTAGTGGTGTAGAAGAAGGCAGACGGGTTTTCATCGGGGTTTGTGTGTTTTTGTATCCACTGTGAGTGTGTCCAAGTCCGCCTACATAGATATAGGTTTATTAGGATCGGCTTTATTCGCAGTGTCAAAAGCGCAACTACATAGACAGGTGAAATGCCCATCCGAAAAGACAAAAAAAGAGAGAGAAAACGCACAAGCTAGCAAGCTCAAGATGATGTTTCAACCCCTATCGCACACAACCAGCCTTGTCACACACATGTCAAATGCATCAAGCAACTCCAAAATTCCACTGGAAAAAAGAAAGACAAGGAGTTACCGGAGCCCTCAGAAGAAGATGGACTCTTGCTGTATTATGCGACTTTATCCCTGTCTGCACCTGATTCGTGAAGGGAAAAAAATCACTTTCCACGCAAACCCTAGAAATGAGATTACCAATCCCATAATAATGCAGATGCTTGGTGGTCGCTGTGGCAACCATCTGCGCTGAGTGATATATCTGATGCTTTCTCTTCCTCTGTCTATTCCTTGATAGGATTATTCCATCAGCCAGACTGTTTATCACAGAAAACATATTTGGGAGAATAGGAACCAATTGCCTAGCTTTGATCAAGCCTCTAAGAGATATCAAACTGAGTAGGATGAAGTTATTAATTTAATTTAATTCTCCATCTGTGACAGTTCAGTGGACGCATTCTTCAAAGTGTGAGTAGATTAGTGTCCAGTGCTTAGCATCAATGGCTGAAAATATCCAGATAAGATGACCAGTTAGGGGAATAAATACACAGTCTGAGAGAAAACTGCTGGAAATAGCTGTTGTAATAATTAAAGGAGAACAGAAAGAGAAAAGTACATTTGTAGAGAAATTGTAATTTAAATATATCTTCTTTTTTTTCTTCCTTTTTTCTGGTCAGTCAAGGGTTCTAGAGGTGTCAATAGAAAAATTTAAACACAGATTGGAACACATTTGTACTAAAACTAGTACCTAATTTCAGCAGGCAACATCAATAAATTGTCCTGACATTTTTCAGAAGTAATATGACCGCATGCTAAAATCTAAGAAACTACAATAATTCTCTGCTCAAAATGAATAGTATACAAATATAATTATGATATTAGATAGTAAAGGATTCAGGATTTCACTGTATTGGACTAGCACGCTTCTTATATTCATTAAAAGGGAAGTTATTTATTCATTTTCATAGTATCAAAATAGTTTTTTTCGTACTGACAGTTTTTCCTGGTATTGAAATTGAGTTGGAAAGGTTTGCGGCATGACATTCAACAACAAAAATTTATCTTTCACTATTCTTTCAAAAGTTTTGTCATATCTACAAAAATGCCATAAATCCAGACTGTAGACAGGCCTTGGGCAGGCCTGGGTGACGTGATGAGAGATAGCTGTGTAATAGAGTTTTGAAAACCACTGGTACTTGTATGGCACCTGGTTCCGAACTGGTCTGCCCTGTACATAAGTGATGGTGAGTCAACAGTTCTGACAAGCCCGTTGTAAAACACCCGTCTCAAAAAGAGTGAAAAGAGGCGCACATCAAAGCCGCTTCCGTCCCGGTGTATTTGGCACTGGGTCGCCAAATCTGATGGGCCTGTGAGAAGCAATACAAAGAAAAGCAAGAAGTTTCCATTAAAGCTGAAGTACCCAACGTTTCTTCCCCAAATTATTGCATGTTGTTTTTCTGCTCTATAAAGTGTAACATCTTATATAATGCAAACTTGGAAGAAAGAGTCACATGAGTCAGTATATGACTCCTTTAGGATGAGAACTGAATTTTCCAGGCACACCAGCTTTAAGTTAGAAGGATGATAAATTGAGGCTCAACATTCAAAAGAAATATTTAAATACAATACAAATACATAAATTCAAAAATGTAGAAAAAATATAGTCTTTGCTCAACTTTTAATTGAAAGTTTAGAAAAAGTTAGATGTTTCCACTTAGCATGCATGTCATACCATCGCAATGTAAGAAAAAGATTAACCATTTCTCACCGCTGTTATTTCGTTTGCAGTGACATGTGAAATTCTTTTTGTTTAGTACCGGTACAAGCTGAGAGATTTTGTGACTATGTGTGATGGCTTACTAAGCAGACTGGTCAATGCTTTACTGGAATGTGTGGGAGTTAAAGCAGATGCTGGTAATATGTAACTCTTGAACCACAACATGAATATGAGCAAGAATGTCAACAAATAATGTATTTGTGAACCTAATAAAGTTATTTTTGCCTTGGATTTAATAATGCTGTTTGTGATGATCCACTTCAGAATTAACCCTCCAATTTTATACATATGACCTTAGCATCTCTTGCATTACAGAAAGGCTCAATCAGAAGAGATCTGGCAGACTGGCATAGTTAAATCACATGGCTACAAAATCCATAAACTGAACATTAGATATTGAGTCAGTGAGCCATGCTGCCTTAGGTAGGCTAAGTGACAAATGATAGGCAGACTGCTGGCCTCTTAATTGTCCTTAAAGGCTGAAGGCTGCACTGTTCATTTCAGCTTGTGACAGGTTGGCCGCTAACATGATCCTTTATATTGAAATATTTACATCCATCAATGAGAACAAGTGGTCATTCATAAAAGTGAAGTTTATTCTATTTATTTATTTTGGTTGGTTGTTATTGTTGTTGTTTTCTATTTGCCCTTCTAAAATCTGACATTGAGATAATTTCAGGGCAGTTAGAGGGCAGTTAGTTGTCATTTGAAAGATCTGATGACAGAAAATCCCTTATAACCTTTTTTTATATATATATTTATTCACTGGTGTCACATTCCTGCCCAGTTTCACACATTGGAATTGGATATCATAACATTAACATTTTGGGACAATGCCATTTGCCTGACTACATTTGGTGGTGTGCGAGGACCCTTTCTGCCTTAACTGTTATTTTGCAGCCAGGCCATAATGTTTCCATTAGGATTATGTCGATCAAGAAAGCTTTTTAGTTTTCACCTTCAAATTACAACATGAGCTTTCATGGGGTCAGCTGCTTTCCATGTGGAATGGCCAGTTTTAATGCCGGCACATTCCCTTGATATTCAGGCGAGGTCTGGTTCACTCAGAGGAAAAAGAGAGGGGTGCTAAAGGAGAGGGGAAAGAGAGTGTTGATTGAAAGACTGTGATTAGCAGTTTTCAACGAGGGCGCCAGGGCCACTGAGTTGTTCTAACAGGGTTGTCGCGTCTCGAGGTGCAGTCAAGGAGAAGTCAGTGCTTTAGAAAGCTCTCCTGATTTCTCTATTCCCCCTCCCATGCTCGCTGACTCTCACCGCCAGCCACACTCTCCTGCCCCTCCAAAAAAATCAATATAGCCGTGCAAAGTGCAGTTAGGCCCACGGGGAGGGACAGCTAACTGTAAGGGGCAAGATGCAGCGCTTACAAGGAGGACAAGAAGCGTCCTACAGGCCTGTCCCACAGGCAGTGTCAAGGACAGACCTGAGACTAAAGGACTAAGGTTTCCAGATTGGCCTCATCATGCAGTTCTCCTCCTTTCGCTGCTGCCTCTGGATGGCTGGGATGGCCCAGTGGGGCAGAGCAGATCGATAAGCAGGTGGAGCGTTTAAAATCCTCAGCTCCAGAGACTGCTGTTACGCTCCTCAGAGCACGCTGGAGCAACACATCGCTCAGCTGAGCCACCACATGAATAGTATTTGTCCAGTGGTCAGGCCTGGTCATTGAAAGGTTTACAATTTGTGACAATAAAAATTCAATAGCACTTAGCTGTACAAAGTAAACAGGGCAGTCCAGACAGACATCACACCTGCTTTGCTATTGGCTCAACTTTACCACAGATGCTCAAGACTACACAATAAAAAGAGAAGAGATTTAG